TTTTATTTTTTCCACACGACCCCACANATACATGAAAGATTCCCTTGCCTATAGAGGTGCAGTCTTTTGGAACACTATTAGTTTAAATGAGCCTGAATTCTCACATAGAAACCAGAATGAGCTGTGCAATTGATTGAAGACAAAAACGTACTTCAGGGACTTTAAATTCAACGTTGTTTCCGCTTCAGTTGTCCGGCGGTGAAATGATGACTTTATTTTTATTATGTACATACTGAGAAATACTCACCAAAAAGCTATATCGTAAATTTTCGTACGCAAATTAGTTCTAGCCAATCAGAGGAGCGAACGATGGATTTCACACGTGAAAAAAATGATACGTCCAATCAGAATCGCGAACGATGTTTTTTCACGTGTGAGAAAAATGATACGTCCAATCAGAAGCCACAGGGGTGTGTGAGTTTCGCGCCAACATTCCCGCCTTTTATTGCAGCTTGCAGCGCCGCTTCGCACACATTCAACGAGAAAAGTTTTACTCAAAGAATTTTTCTCACTAAAAAAGTGAAAAACATTTCGGAAATGGAGTGGAATAGTTTCGTTTGTTTCACTGTCGATAAAGAAAACGGTAGAGAGCGGGCGAAACAACAGCGGAAAGGGAAAAACAGAACGAGACGTAACCTTTTGTTGCGCTTTTTGTCGGAGCTACTTTGCCTTTCATTTAAGCTTAAGCTTATATTGAAACCGGCCATTTTACTTAAATTCACTCATTTTCAATTGTGCATTGAGAACAAACAGTTAAGATTACTTATAGTTCTTGGATTACCTCATATCCTTACCGTCATTTATTTTTTTTAACAAACGTTTTTACTAAAAAGCCGATACTTCGTTTTCGTTGTCATTTTGCGGTAAGTGTGTAGCGGCAAATTTTAGCATTTTTTGAAAGATTTAAAATAAAAAGGCCGCCAAAATAATGAATGTCTCAGAATGTATATAATAAACATAATACCACATGGAAAGTGCTTTGTACGGTATTTACGCACTCGTTGTTTTTGTATCAGAAAACTTACTCGTTCGATGCGCTCACTCGTTCGATTTCTGATACGTCAACAACTCGTGCGTAAATACCGTACGCCAGCACTTTCCATGAAGTATTCTCTATATATTTGATCGTTTTACTTTAAATAGTGTACATATATGATGCTAGCTGTTCTTATTTCTATTATTCATTTTCCTTATAGTTGATAGAATTTTTATTTTTTCCACACGACCCCACAAGATTGTAACCTTTTATTATAATCGTGTCAAAATAAAGGTCTTCCTCTTCTTCTTCTTCTTAGGGGCTCGCAAGCTCACCCCTTTGGGGCTTCCCCTAAATTTGACTGCGAGGAAGGCTTTTTTCAAGGAATGGGGGTGTAAACAGGACTCTAACTCTGTATACTATATTACATAGCTTCACACAGTGATCGATGATCGAACAAACCAAAACTTCTTATTTTCTTTTCATAACCTCCAACCTCATGAACTCATGTACCGCGTTGTAAACAGAAAAAACTGCTTCAACCAATATTATGTCAAAATTCAAACCTTGTGAGTTTTAACAAATGATTTATTTTGTTTATCAAATAATAGTCTTCAGGTTTTTAAATTTTTTTCATTAGGAATGTTGAGGCTTGTTTTTTATTGTGTTTGGCTCGCACCGTCCCTTTGATTTTAAAACATTGTCCCAGTTCGGCGCTGTAAATTGGAAATTCCCGGTGAGTGATGGCGCCATCATTAAAAGCCTTAGAAACAAGGCTGTGAATCGTTTGGGAAGGGCCAGGGAGTGAATATTTTTGTGTTTGGTGTCCTTCAAACAACAACAACAACGTATTTATTTAAAGAAATATAAAGTTTACAATACTTTATGTCCTGCAAATAGCTATAATGCCAATCTAGGCAGGACAAGACTTTAAATAAAGACGTTATTAAATTACATAAGAAAAAAGAAAAGAAAAGAAATACAAAAAATATACAGAAAAAAACACATTACATATAAATCTCAACTGTGTTTTTTGCCAAGACCAGTAAGTACCTGAGGAACCAGCACCTGAGATAGCGGCCAACCTGCCGAGGGGAGCGCCTATAGCTATTTCAGGGTCCAGTGACAGAAAGAATGGCAGAGAAAACCTAGACCAATGGTGGTATAGTGCAAGGCCATTAGTGCCTTCTCATGCTTTTTAGCAAATGCCTTGTAGTGTAGAGATCCGTCGAAAATTTGTTTCTCAATTTCGGTTATTCGAGTCAGGGGAAAAGTGTCAACAGGCACTTCCGGATACAGCTTTTCTAGTGGGGCACTTGCAACAAGGTTCGAAGAGGACATTTTATATGTAAGAATTTCAATTTATTTCCAACTCAAATTCCACTGGGGAGCCATTCTCATCTTTCACAAAAAGAGTTTAACTATGCAAATGTGTATCCCCAAAGGCAATGGGGATTAAACATTTTGTATGGGTTACCTTGGATTGAGAACTTAGCCAAAAGATTTGACGGTTTTCCGTTCAAAAGGTTTCTGTTTTTGCCATTAAATCACGGTGAATGGAATACCTAGTTGGCGCAATCAAGCGTTCTATGTATGTTCTTTTCCCTAATTTTGGGTTAATTAACCCAAAAAGGGCTTCCAAATTTGAGCCAAATATTACATTTTCCTCTTCAACTTGTTAACACAGAACTTGAAAATCGACCTTCGTCACACTTAACTAAACACAGCACTCCAGCTCGTGGGAAAAACTTAATTCGTCAAAACAACTCGCTTGGCATTTGTATACCGTTTCACATAAGGTTCTAGAAATACTAAACAGGCGAATAGTAGTAGTTTTTCGACATATTTCATGATTTCAGTGACTGACGCAAATCTGCTGACTCATGCTGAAATGTAAACATACCCTAATTAACTGTTCAGAGAAACGCAAAGAGTGTTGGAGAAAGTCACGCAACGCATGATAGCAATTTTACTACGTAACACTCAACAAGGACAAAGTGTAACATTTTGTAACTTTCAATTCATCATAAAACAGTTCGAAAGGAGCGCTCACTCGTGAAATGTTTTTCAACACTTGAAGAGAAATTTCAAGATATCTCGAAGTAATTCCGGTCTCATTTTGTGAAATAGCCGAAACAAGCCGAAAAGTCACGAACTTGCGCGCCCAATCTTGTCCCGAAACTGGTGCATAATTTCATAGCTATTTTTCATTTCCCAAACTACCTTGGGTCGCAGTGGCGCAGTCGGCTAATTCCTCAACTTAGAGTCTCCTCTGATCTGACGGGTAACACTGGTGAGTCGGTTCAAACCCCGGGAAAGCCAGTATAATTCTTTGTTCCTCGAATAAGTTAAAGAATAAACTACGGGTACCTTCCAGCAAGTGCCAACGAGGCGAATTCGTACGTTTCTCTTTTGTGCACTGTGCCTATCCAGATCTTCGCGATTTGTTACATAATTTTAGAGGTTTACAATGGATATCGCTATAGAAAAGGATGGCAATCAATTTTAGAAAAAACCTTGGTACATTCTAGGCTTTCACTTCTATTAAAAAATAACAACATCGCTTGAAACTTTGATGTCTCTGTTGGTAAATTGGTGCAAGTTAGCACTTATATTCTATGGAAATTCAAAACTATAAACGTCAGAAAGTAAATATAGTTCAAGTGAGGCCTTTGACTGCTAAAATTAAAAATTAAAATTAAATTCCGAGCTTTCGCCGGTCAACTGCATCATCGGGGATACGAAAAATATTCCGCATGGTGATATACATAAGAAAAAATTAATGTAAGCAAAATGTGTGAAAAGCGCAATAATGGGGCGGAAAGTATCCAGAGGTATAAAAATATAAATTTGAATAAAATACAAAGATCTAATGAGTGAGTGGCACAGGAAAAAGAGTCTCTCGAAAGGAAAAATGATTCATAATGATGGTCATTAAAACAAAAAGTCAGCAAATCATGGTAGTTTAGGGCTGCAAAAAGACACGCTGGTTGACAAAAACCTCTCCAAAGGCAGACAAAACTTCTAAAAAACAAAAGGTCCTCAAATGCGTTGCATTCCTCACGGGAGGTGAGGACCGGCTCAATGTAAATCGAACTGCGACGAACACGCTGGTTCTGATAAACGTTTTGAGAATACAACCCTATTCCTTGACTAACTATTGCATAGAAGTCAATTTACAAAGGAAAGAATAATACCCAAAACCATGATTCTGAGTCGAGAAGCGAACACGTACCTCAGTGTAAATCGAGCTGCGAAGAACAAGCTGGTTTTGACAAAAATTGGAGCGTAAAAGCCTATTCCTTGATAGCTGCTGCTTTAAACGCAATTTATAAAGGAAACCAGAGCACTAATAGCCCTTTCAAAAACAAGAAATCGTATTAAAGCTTGCTTACCTTCTAGGGCCTCTTGAAAAGAAAACGAACAGCTGCACAGGGGATCACCTAATTTCGAACCAGGAGTTGTAAATACAAGATCATGACGTTACTACCCAAATATGGGGTCTTACCTACGCCCAAATATAGCCAAAAAGGCAATTTTTAGAGGGTTACGCAGAATTTGAGTTTTTGCCGACATTGCAAGGGATTATGAATCTGCCGCCGAGGCACCTCGCTTCTTAGCTCGGTTGCCTCGTTGGCAACCAAAGAATTCGAAGTGATCTCGAGATATCTCGAACAAATTCGGCTCTCACTTCGTCAAAGATCTGAATAAAACTGAAAACCTACAGATTTTGCGTGCCCAATCTTGTCCCAAAAAAAGCATTTTTGGCACATTCCTGAGCATCACAAATGCTTTACTTCGCGCTCCGCAGAAGTAACAAGATTTCGCAATTAACTCGAAATTGTCATCTGTGGCTGGAAATATGGCACTGCACTGCACTGCAGCTACGTGCATGCAATTGCCAATTCCGCTCTTATTACAGCAAGGCACATTTATTTTCATAAAGACCCTGACAAAGAACCTGTTGAACAACACGAATAAGAACCTTACAACTTCTCCAAGATCTTTTATTTTTCATATAAGCATGGAAGCAAACACCACCACTGAAGAAAAGCACGCCCCTGCTCAACCTGCTGTCACCACTGAAGTAAATGAAGCAAAGCCAGCAAAAGATCCTGGCCAAGTTGCAACTGGAAAAAAACTAGCAGAACACAATACACGTGCTCGGAAAGCAAAAAATCGAGCTAACGCTTGAAATCAGCAGCAGCACCAGCTGATTCTCCAACTGCCACAGTACAAAACAACAGCAACAACATTTACCTCATTCTTGGCGCTGGTGGTTTAATTGTCTCTGCTTTGGGCATCTGTTACCGGCATGAAGCCATCATGTCATCTTTGCGAGAAAAAAAATGAATCACTGAAACCCGAGGCAGACTTTTCAGGCCCTCTCGCCAGGATTCCCAAAAGAGTCCACATAAGAGAGATGGATTGAAATTTTTTGACTTAATAGATAAGGATGTCCGACAAGAAGCTTGTTAAAACTGTTGTCGATGCAACAACCCTTACCTGCCTGGCTGCAGGCATGGAGAAAAAAGCTGTTAAAGAAAACTTCACCTCTAACCCCAGCAACAATACAATGAACTACGTAAAGTTCACCGTCTTGATGGTGGTAAACATGGCTCTGAAGCAGTACCTCAAGGATCAAAAAATACTCCCACAAAACGCTTAATTTTGAAAGGTTTGTGTATATATAGTATTGCAAGTGTTGCTATTATGGCTGGTGGTGCTATTCTTAATGCTGTTGCTTTCATTGGCAGCAATTATCTTGCTCGCTTTCTCTCCAGGGATTCCTCAAAGGCTCCCATTGACGGAAAAAAAAGACATGACGAATCTTTTGGGGGTTACAAAGCCACTTACACCAAATATGAAAAAGAACGAACTAAGCTGCTTGACTGGATCGAAACCCGCCACGAAATCAAAGAGCAGGCCAAGCAGAATTTCACAAACACCGGCTACGCTTTTAAACTGAACAACCAGGCCCACCAACATGCGCCAATTATAATGCCCAAGGAACAAAAGTTCTCTGACTTCTACCAATTCCCTCTGCAAAAACAGGGGCGTTTTAATTTTTTTTGACACAAGTGCTCTTCCGCTTGGATACGCCGCTTTTTATTTTCTATAACATCTCTTGTAGCCAAAACTCATCATCCATACATTTGAGCCTTTGCACAATTTTTTTATCAAAGAAAATGAGCAACTCATTCATAACTTCTTTCATTTCTTCTCTTGTCTCTGCAACTATTTCCAAAAACAAAACTTTTTCTTGCATTTCAGGAGACGACTGTCCCAGGGGCTTTCCATTTTCATGATTTTTTCAAATCTTAATCTTCATTATATTTTCAAGCTTTTGAAAGTCTACTACAGCCCTCAAGGATACTGGAAAGGCCTTGCCGCAATCAAAAAGCTCGCCGCTGCAGCAAGTCTCTGATGATGCTGCCAAAAAGTGGGTAATAAAGCAAACCCTGGCAAATTTATCTTCCCGCGCCAAAGCGCATTCCTGGCCCCAAATTCGATGTACCCATGACAAATGCAGTTCACCAAGCAGACCTTTTTTTATCACATGACATTCAAGGGTATGGTCAGGGCTGGAAGACTTACAAATGTGCTTTGACAGTGGTCGATGTCGCCAGCCATTTCAAAGAAGCTGAACCATTGACCTTGAAAGACTCTACTGAAGTTGCAAGCAGTTTTCAAAAAAATTATTTATGCGTCCCTTTGAAATGGCCACAGTGGCTTCAGGTTGACCCCGGCCGAGAATTCATGGGCACTGTCACTAAAGAAATGGAAAAACAAAACCAAACATTCCACATGGGTGCCCTGAGCTCCCCTGTGATTAGGCGATCATTGAAAGGTTTAACCGCACCCTTGAAGGGCGCCTGTTTGGCCACCAATATGCCATTGAAATGTGGCTTCCTGAAGGCCAACGGTCCACAGTTTGGGTAAAAAGGCTTGTGGAAGTAGTCTCTGTTCTGAATGATGAAGTCACGCGTCTCATTGCCAAAAGACCCACCAAAGGCATCAAAGAAGAAACCATTGCTGCAAAACCCTCCACTCCTTATCACAGACCTGTTGGGGCAAATGAAAAGAAACTCCCCACCCTTGTCAATGTAAGATATCTCTATAAACCAGGTGAGCTGAAAGGCAGAGGGGTGGAGGTGATAGAGCCACAGACCCTGCCTTGTCTTTAAAGGTCTACAACATTAAAGGATCGATCAGCACTCCCAAAGAGCCTGTTCTCTACTATTTACAAAATGGGCCCAAGCGAGGCTTTGTGCCTCCTTACTCAGAATAACCTTCAGCAACTCACTAATGTAAGTATCAAGCTCTTCTGTCAATCGGTGTCCACACGCAAGTGTGTCTATTCGGTTTTCTGCGATATATCGCTTTGAATCAAAGAGAGATTTTGTAAATCAGAGAGATTTTGTTTACCCGCACACCATAAATCTCATGCCCTTCGATGTGAAGCATGTTCAGTTTGTGTTTTTTTGCAGAAAAGCATCTCTTTATAATGCACATGCCTTATCTCTTTTTTCACAACGTACTTTTTCGTGCCTTTCGACTTTTTGATGTTTTGCTTCTCTGCCTGGATTGAGTAAATTTTTGGTCCAAGGCAAACACACTCAGCAGTTGGCGTTCCGTTCATCTCGTCTTTCATCTTGCCCAAAACCTTTTTGTTTGTTGCGCTGTGAAGTGGATGATCTTTGGGAAAACCGCTTGTGTCATAGAAATGTTTGCTGTCTTCCACATCCTCGTAAACATCGTCAGTTTGAATCTCCAGCAAAAGATTGTCCATATTGGTGTAGATGAGTTCCCACTTTTCGCCGTACCGCGTTTTGAGCGTGTTGTAATAAAATCATACATCAGGATTTTGCTATTTTTGAGGATTGACATCCCCACCTACACAGGCTTGTCCAGCTTCACCCTATCTCTGCGGATGCTGACACCTACAAGGTTGTTGTGAATCGCGTACACCCCGTAAACAAAGGGCTTGTAATCAATTTGCAATCTTTCCCCTTTCATCACTACGAATTATTTTTCTGTCTATTCGTTTCTGCATGTTCTCCATTGGTTTACCAAAAACCGCATTGTTCATGAGCTTATAGAAGTTTTTTCAAAATAGTTTGTTGCGTGCTTTCTGAATTCTGCATTTTTGCACTTCGAGCTTGTCTATATCTTATATTGGCGTTGGGAAACTAATTATTGCGTAGTTAATTTCATCGTCTACTGGGTAACTGGTCGTTCCCAGTGGATTATTTCGTTTTGGCGTGGGAAACAATGTTGCTCGAAGTGACCATTGTCTCTTCTGTTTTGCCCATTGATGATCACTTTTTTGTCTTGAAGCTTTTTGGGGAGGGGTATGTATGTTCTAGCAACAAGCAGTTCCAATCTAGCTACATTCACACAAGCCGTTTCGATCTCTTCAAAATGGATATCAGGCTCATTTCCTATCCAGGCTTCAATTTTGTTTTTTTTTACTTTCTTAATGACCTCCTTGAATTCTTCCTTGATTTTTTCTTTGCTCGCATTATGAAACACTCTTCCATCGTCGTCTTTGAAATAGTGTTTTGTTCGTGTTATTTCACCTTTTTCAGTCCTTTTTGTCATTTGCGCTGAAAGTGCAAATTCAACTTTATACATGCCCAACGCTTGCATTTCTTTTTTCACAGCATCCATGCACTTGTTTTCTTTATTTCGGCAGTTAGAATGTCTTTGTTTTCATTTTGGGAAGGCTCCATTTTCCACGCACATTCAGCCATTCTCCGAAATCATTTCGAGCCAAATGAAATTCATTAGCGAGCACCTGTTCTTCCACGGCCTGTTCAGGCATCTCAGACTCGTCAAACATTTGCAAAACATCACTAGAAAAGCGTTCGGCAGCCATCAAATATATATACTGTTACAAAAAGTGTACAAAGACACATAATCCGGTCAAAAAAATACACTCAGTACGAAGACAGACTTCATTTGCAATGCCACAAAAAGAACCAGAATGATATGAACAGGAGAAAGTAGAATATCAGAGGTTTTGGTTTGTTTGATCATCAATCCCTGTGTGAAGGTATGAAATGTAGTAGGGAACCCCCGGAGGGGTGAACTTAGGGTACCCCTAAATTTGACTTTGAGGAAAGCTTTTTTCGAGGAATGGGGCTGTAACAGGACTCTCACTCTGTATAGTACTAATGCAGCTAAACATAACAAGAAACAGCCTCTACGAAAAGTTCACGTCAAGGTTACAATTCTAATACACATTTTTTTGCTAAGGTGAGGGGAGACCAAAAAAAGTGCATACAGTTGTATATAGCAGGTCCATTATACGGTTTACCCTGGCAACAATGTAATACCTCTTTTAGTACAAATTATGTGATACAAAAGGTAATTTTGATGGTAAAACAATGTCTACATTGTGGTTACATTTTATCCTCTGTTTAAATTTTATTTTCCTTTGTTTTTATGGTATGGTAATATATGTTGATTACTTTAAAATTTAAAACAAAGGAAAACAAAATTATACCAAGGATAAAATTGAACCACAACATATATACACTAAATGCCCAGGATAAGTCCAGGTAGGGATTCTGGTATGTTGGTAGACATCCCTGGAAAAATAATGATACTGGGTATTTGCCTTTCCAGCTATGATAGAGTCCAAAACACTTACATGTATTCAGGGTTGGCATAAAAAAGTAAATTATAAAGTGGAGAACGCCACTGGCACTGCATCCAGGCAATTACCCACCTGATCTGCAAGCTGACTATTCCCTTGAAACATTGGGTTAGTCCGTATTACCTAAAACATTTAAGGTAGAAGACAGATTTCAGAAATTAAGTAAGGTTTTGATGGTAAAAAACTTAAAGCATCTGAACACCATGGCCGACACAGTTGACAACACTCGTATGTGAAGAGAGATGCAATACTCATTTATAGAGATGCTCTCTTACACCAACTTTTATTCTTACATTGAAGCTGATAGTCCAGATTGCTTTCAATTTCTCTGTAAAATACTACTGCCATTGAAATTTATCACCAAGCCCATTTCTTGATCGCTCAAACGAACACGAAAATAAGCGATGAGGTTGTAAAAAAACAAACATGTGCTAATGATTACTATATTTTGCTTTGAGATATACAGATCGGTCGTAGGATTTGGCATCATTGTTGTTCATCCCCCTGGCTGAAGTGCGAATTCCGCTTAGAAGTGCCGCCCATGTTGATTTTGACACTTCTAACTTAGCTCTGATACAAGGTAGCTTATAATTCCAATACTTATTTCTTGACCTTAGCCTGTCAAGTTGCAAGAAATTTTGTAAAGAATATTACAAGAATAAGATTAAGGACCTGTCCTCATCGCCTACGTGTTACTTGGGAATCGCACCATTATCATAATCTACAGTTTAAACGTGTAAATTTTCTGACAAATACTTTTTCTTTCTCTTCATAAATTGTAAGTTATTTTTTAAATTGCTTGCGGAAACCCAACAATAAATACTACAGCCCCCTGAAAGTATTAGCCTTGAGATAATATTGGCTGTTTTTAAGCATAAGAAGTTCCTTAGTCAGATAACCAAATTTGCACAATAATGCCGTATCAGGTGCAGTAAACAGCCATCACAGCCAAAAGTGAAACATGCCTTTTGCAAAAGAGGACCCACAACTTGTGTGTTGAAATTTGTCATCATAAACTCTATTAAGCGAAGGTGCCATGAAAAAGACCACTCTTCTATAAAATATTGACTTTATGATTCATGAATAAAAGAAATGACTTACAGAAGCCATTAAGTCAGGATTCTGCAGCATCTGTTGCATCATTTCTTGCATGTATGGGCTCTGCATCATGTTTTGAAACATATCAGGATTAGCAGAAACCTGCTGCATCAGGTTCTGCATGGCTGGAGTCTGAAAAATGCTTGTCCGAGAATTTTCAGGAGCACTATCACTGCTGAAAAGAAGACTATGCACATTAAAATAAACCAAATAGCTGTAAGATACTTTTATATATCATCCCCATTGTAATGCTGGTGGACGGAACTTCAGTCAAGGGACATCATCATCACTTTCAACAAAAGAAGCGGAAAATTTTTACCTGCTTTGCGCACACTATGTGCAGGAACACTGATGCAGAATGTGCATTTGGTCAATAAAAGCGGGAAAAATTAGCAAAAATAGAAACAAACATCTGCCGAAGAGAAAGAAAAAAAAAAGTTCCTGAAAGCTACTAACTATGCCAAAAGAGAAGAAATAAGAGCTGTTTGTATTTCGACACATCGTTTAGTCAAAAATTCCACATTAAGCATAAGGTTAGGTCGTTACAAAAGGTCATATATTTACTACTAGTATATACTACTAGTATTTGTTCACGGATGAAAATGTGCCTGTTCACAGAGCCCACACTGTAAAAAAATTATAAAGATCAAAAGAAAGTAACCTCTAAGGAATGGCCAGCACAATCACCAGATTTAAAATATAATAAAAAAATATTGCCTTTACATCAAGAGAGACCTCCAAAAGTCCACGGTGAATATTGCTACCAAAATGCGTGAAATCCAGAACGTATGGCAGAAGATCAAATTTGATTATATAAGAAATCTTTACCAGTAAAACGGTGTAAAAACTAGCATGCGTAAAATGCAAACAAATGCTGCCATATTGAAAGTGACAAATACTTATGTCCCTTAACTGTAGTTTGGAATACGTTAATGAGTATGAGCTGGTGCTAATTTTTTGGTAGGTGCTCTTGAAAAATCTTGCAAAGTGATCAGGGGCACTCAACGACTGTTTTCTGTAAACTATCTGTTTAGAGAAGCAAAAAATGCCTAGAATTAATTTTCTATAGCTTGAGAAACGCTAAAAATTTCTAGATGGCCATTCAATTCATGTACAATTTTCGAAGCTTATGTTGAAAAAGGAAAATTGTCGGATTTGAAAATGCAATGGAGCGAGGAATAAAAAAATTCAATGCTGAAAAAAAGACCCAAGTTGCCCTTATATGACTGAACAGATACAAATTTTATAGCGTCACTCAGAATGCATTTCTACAGATCTAAAATTATAATCGCACCTCTACTAACAGCCACCTCTCTACAACGGCCATTTTTTTTGTCCCGGCAGAGTCCATACATTGACTCTTGTTTAAATTCCTCTACAACGGCAATGGCCACTAAAGCGTGTCCCCAACTGCCAAAATAACTC